ACCTCCAGGTACAGGTGCTCACCTCACTCAGAAGAAATCTCAGCTTCTGGGGCGGGTTGGAGGCCTCAGAGCAGGCCAGGGAGGTGCCCCACCCATCTCCCCTCCAGCCAGGGCCTGGAACTTGAATGCAGGGAACATGGGGAAGAAGGAAAGAGCTCTATTTTCTAAAAAAAAAAAAAAAGAAAAAAGAAAGAAAAAGAAATGTGATGAGCAGCAGCTTCTGTTGTCTGTGGTTTTTGATTGTACTGGGGCTGACTGTCAGTGTTCCCTGGGCCTGGTCTTATGGGACTACATCTGCTGCCTGAGGAGCTTTTGGCTATGAGGCCTGATTGGAGGCCTTATAAGGCAAGTGACTAGGAAGAAAACATGAAGAAAACTGATAGGTATATTTGCTGGACTCCGTACCCATTTTAGACCCAACAGAACAGGGAATTTTAGACCCAGGGAATCTCACAGAGCAGGAGCCATGAAACCCAGAGAGACTACTCCCTCTTCTAGAGCCCTAGCCCCAAGAGGCCCCTCAGAAGGGACCCAGAATGTAGCATCTTCTGTAATCGATGCTTGACTTTCCATTCGTTTCCCAGCTAAAGATTCCAGGAAAGGCCCTCCATTGGGTGCCCCCTCTGCTTCACCCTCCTCCTGTGGGAGCCATGGCCCATCTCTGAGGTTCACCATTAAGTATTTGGTTCTAGATTAGAGCCAGAAGAAACCCATGCTAGATCGTTACTTTTCAAATTTGTTTTCAACTACAGATCTCATTTGTTCACTGAATCTTATGTGGAAGCTCCGTATATAGATAAAGCATCCTTGCTCTGCTCAGAGGGAGCTAGTGGCTTGGCCTCCACTTCACTGCCAAGGGATCCCGGAGCACTTCTGTGCCCTTCCCACCCCACTCCAGATCTCCAGGGAATAGTTTGGAAACTGCTGCTCTAATATCCATCACACCACCACACAGAAACTGGGCCACAGAGAGGGGAGTCATTTGCTTAGGATCACACAACTTAAAGTGACAGGGGCAAGACTAAGACCCAGGCCTCTTTGCACCCACCCGGCAGCCTCTGTGGTGGCAGTGGCCATCAGGTAACCTTCACCTGGCATTTGGTACTGAGGACATTGGGCTACCTGATTGTCTCCTGTGGGGGATGGAGACCCATCAACCTTCCCTAGCCTGCTGCTTTGAGTCTTTGCTGGGGCCAGGAGAGGAAATCCATCATCTGACTAGAGGCGGGGAAGTATAGGGTTCTAGAAGCCTCTGATTTTAGGTCTGGTTTGTGCTGAAGGAGCTTAGGTTAGTGAGCTTGAGCTGAAATCCCCTTAGTATATTTGGAAAACTGGGGCAATGACTAACCCAATCAACCACTAACAAGTGGCAATACTAATTAGCTGTTAATGATGATTTACCCCAAGGCAGCATTAATGATGTGCGTTGGGTGTTCAAGAAGTGATGACTAATCGTTCATGGGTTCTGTACCATACCTACCAAGAGAGTTCATGCCTCCTCATGCCTTGGGATGGTTGGGTTCCCCTGTCCCAACGGAGGAGTAAATGCCCTGAGGTCTGTCTGGCTGGGCTCTAGAGCCATTTGCCAGGCTGCCCATCCCCTAGAGCTAGCCCCCTCCTCCCTCAGCCAGGCTGGTGTCTCGGTGCTGTCACTAACCTGCCTTGCTTTGTTGTGTTTTTCTCACCCCTGCTTGATCTGCATGGTGTGTGCCATCTGTCTGCTAACCAGGGACCCTACCTTGCTTCCGGGGACCAGTCGCTGGAACGGGCCACCGGGGAGCACGCCAGCGTGCACGAGTACCCCGGGGAGCTGGGCCAGCCCCCAGGCCATTACCCCAGCAGCCACCCACCAGGCCGGGTGGGCACCATGCGGGCACTGTCCCGCCAAGACACGTTTGATGCTGACACCTTTGCCAACCGAAACTCTGCCTACACGGAGCTGGGAGACTCGTGTGTGGATATGGAAACTGACCCCTCGGAGGGGCCAGGGCTTGGAGACCCTGCTGGGGGCAGCACCCCACCAGCCCGTCAGGGATCCTGGGAGGACGAAGAAGTCTATGAAGAGGAGCTGACGGACAACCGGAACCGTGGCCGAAATAAAGCCCGCTACTGCGCGGAGGGCAGGGGTCCAGTGCTGGGGCGCAACAAGAACGAGTTGGAGGGCTGGGGGCGGGGTGTTTATATCCGCTGAGAGTTAGGGGCCACACAATGGGAGGAAGGGCTCTGAGTCCAGGCGAGGGGAGGGACAGCGGGCTCACCGTTGTGGATGTATCTTGCCTGCAGGGGGCGCTGTCTCCCTCCTTTCAGATGCCTTTGCTCAGTGTGTGGGGTTTCTTTGGTGTTAGCATCCCAGTTCCTAGGAGTCCCTTAAGCCCCAGCTGTAGGTTTTTATCTACCTGCTGTGGATGGATGGCGGGATGCCCAACTTTCTGCAGTGTCCCCTTTCCCCACCTCAGGGGGCTCTCTCCCAGAGAAAAGGTGCACTTCCTTAACTCTTCCTCCTCGAGACTCGAAATGAGGGCCCTAAATGGGGCGGCCCTTTTCCTAACCTGGAGTATTTGGGAAGAGTAAGGGGTTTTTTTCTGGAGAGGGAGACCGCAGACTCCCATGAGAGTTATCTTTCCCAAAACCCAGATCCAGGGTCCCTCACCATGCCCAGCCCTTCCCCTAGCTTTCTGGCAGCATTGTCTGGTAGGAGAAAGCTGCAGGATAGAAGCCCCTTGGGGAGGGGTCTGAGTAGAAACTAGCAGGCATTAGATGTAGTACCACCTGCCTGCCCAGGACCTAGCCCTGAGGACTGGGCAACCAGAGATGCTGCTACCCACCCCACCACCTCCATGCCTCAGCCTTTGCCTGCTCCAGGAATGAGCTTTGCCTACAACATCCCTTGCCTGCTGCCATCAGAAGAGGGGCCCTCTGTGTCTGAGCCCCCCATCCCTGTGTCACTTGGGTGTACAGCCCATGGAACACTCTGGTCCGCCTCATTTTGAAACCAAAAACTGCTTATTCATTCTCACCCTGAGGCCCCCAGAGAGAGGCCCTGTGAGTTGATGCCCAAGAAATGATTGCCACCCAGGGGTTGCCTCGGGACCTCGGATCTTCCCTGGGGGGCTTGGCTGCTGCTGCTGCTGCTGCTCTGTATTTGCCTCTTGTGATCCTGTCCTTTGTCCACTCCACTCCCTCCAGGAGAGGCCTTTGTACCCCTCTGGCCTAGAGTATCCTGCCTAGCATCCCCATAGCCCAGCAGCCTTGCCCCTCCCCAGCTTTCCAGCTGGGCCAGAGAGAGCCGATTGTGCCAACGAGGACTGGGCCTTGCCTGGCTGCCCTCTTCACGGATGGGCACCTCATGCCTGTCTTGCCACCTCCTGTGCCAATGTTGTCCCACCCCCTCTCCACCTGGGGGTGGGTTGCAGCTTCCACGTACTGGTTAGAAGAGACCACTGCCCAACTTTTACCCCTTCCTGTCTAGTGTCCTGTGTCCCCTTCTGTTTGTCTGTCTGTCTGTATTCCCCTAGAGGTATTTTGCCACATATAAAACCGCCGTCCTGTCCTTTGCTGCCGCCTCCTGAGCCTGCCTCTTTGTTCCTACCACATGATTGCCGGCCTAGGCATGTGGGAGCTGCCAACGTGCAGGGGGATGAAAAGGGTGGGTGCAGGAATAAGCTGTGCCCCAAGTCGTTTACTCAACAGGAAAGATGGAGTTTTCTGTGGGGTTCTGATGCATTACAGTCAAGCCTGACAGGAGCTGCGTGGCCAGAGTCAGCCCCCCTTAGCCCCAAACCCCACGCCTAACCTGTCTTCCCCATAAGCAGAGCCTGGAAAACTGAAAAGCTGAGGCAGGGAAATGGGGTGTTGGTATTGTTCAGTGGATGAGGTCCAGACTCACTGGCACAATGTCTTAAAGGCTTGTGCTTGTTTTTCTGCTTCTGTGGCCTCAGCTGCTCCCCAGTACCTCAGGGGAGGAGGGGCTGAGCTTCCGGCTTTCTTCACTGATGCCCTCACAACTACCCCCCTCCCAGCCCCTACTAACCAGGCTTGGGGGAGGGGAGGAGATCTATGTGGTGGGAGGGGCAGGAAAAAATCCAGAACTCTTCCCAGTCCCCGCCTGAGAAAGATCAAAAGCAAGGAAGAAAGTTGGCAGGTGATGTGCCAGTTCCTGCCATCATCAGCTAGCAGGATGTGAGCTTCTGACGGTTAACTGCTGTCACCTGTATCCTGCCTCACATAGCACCCACAAACCATTTCTCCACTCTTCTGGTTCTTGTTTCTGAGGTGGTGGTAGACTGAAGTACTGGAGCTCCTGGGTCCTTGACCTGAGTGCTCCTGTACAAAGTGCGTGTACAGAGGGCAAGAGACATCCAGATCCCCTAGATGAGGGGTTATCAGACCCAAGGAAAGAGGAACTGGGTGGGCCCACAGGTCAAGTCGTTGGCCCCAGCTCCCCGGGGAGTTGATGGCATAGCAAGCACTGCTGGGACTGGATTCCAACCTCTGTCTCCCAGCATAGTGTTCTTCACATTGCCTTTCAGTACAATCAAACCTTCATCTCCATGTTTACTCACTGAACAAACATTTACTGAGCACCTACTATGCACCAGGCACAAGTCTAAATGGAAACCACAGGCTATTCAGGAACACAATGAACTCTCTGATGTGGGAAGCTCTGGGTCCTGGGGGGACCGGGAAGAGGTGTCACTCCCTTAACCTGGGGAGGCCAGAAGAGGCTTTCTGGAGGAGGTGAGGCTTGAGCAGAGACTACAAGCAAAGCAGTGGGGGAAGTGTTCAAGGCAGAGAAAGCAGGTGACATGCAGGACATATTCTTGGACTTCACCAGCAAATCATGCTCTCCTGGTGATGGTCAGAGAGGGGTCAGCAGGAGCAGGTCACGGTGGACCTTGAGTCATGCTAGGGAGTTTGGACTTTGTCCTGAAGCTGGTGGGCAGAAATTGAAGGATTGTAAGCAGTGATGGCAAGATTGCCTTGGTTGCAGTTTGGAGCATAGAGTAGAGAGCCTAGCCTGGAAATCTGCAATAGGTGAGAAATGAGGAAGGTTTGCATTAGGTTTCAGCAGTAGAATGGGAAAGGAGCCAATGACTACCAGAGACACCTAACAGAACAGAGAGCTCTTGGAGAACAATTAGAGGTGGCCAGTGAGGGAGAGAGAGGCTCCTGCGGTGACTGTGGGTCACAGAGAGGAAGCAGATGAAAAAAAAAATAAATAAACAGAGGCAAAAACAATGTTTAGCTTCGGATGGGGTAGGTTTATGGTGTCTGTGGAAGGACATCCAAAGGGAAAAGAGCAGAAAGCAGCTGGGTGCTTGCTTTGGAGCTCATCAGAGAGCTCCATCTGGGGTGGAGCCTGGTATTTTGACTCAAGGGCAGGGATTATTAACTCTAGTTTACAGATAAAGCTCAGTGAGGTTAAGCAACTTGTCCATAGTTACTCGGCTGGGGAGAAAGGACTTGAATTCAGATAACTGGATTTCAAATTCTGTGACGCTGAAGTCTAGTACTAATTACCCTGCCTGAGGATGCCCCAGCTTCTCTGAGGGGAGGGGATTGGGGAGATGAGAGCAGGTATCTGAATGTTTCTATCTCCTTTCTACGTGCTTTCTGCCTGAAATTGCATTTGCCCAGAACTTGCAGGCAGGGCCATTTCTAGGCAGCTTGGAGATTTTGAGAGATGAGGAGAGATTCTTGTCTCTTGGTAACCACAAGCCCTCAACTGATACACAGTCAGCACATTGGTGATTGTCAACATGTGAGGATGTCACAACCATGAAGTCAGTCGAGACTAGCCCAGAGAGGCTGGTGCTACTGCCATAACCTCCCCAGGGGCTTGGGAACTGAGGATCTGGGGACCCCCCCATTTGGTACCCCTCATCTCCTTCCCAGTAGTGGAGCTGAGGTCAGCGAGGCCTCAGCTGTAGGTGTGGCTAAAGGTTTCCACCATTCAAAAGTAAAGTGAGTCTACGGCCATGCCACCCTGAACAAGCCCGATCCCGTCTGATCTCGGAAGATAAGCAGGATCGGGCCTGGTTAGACTTGGATGGGAGACCACCTAGGAAGACCAGGTGCTGTAGGCATAAAAAATATAAAGTAAAAAATAAGGGATTGTAAGCTGACAAGGTCCTTGCAATTTGTGAGGTCAACCAAGGGTTGCCTCACCTAAAAAAAAAAAAAGTAAAGTGAGCTGAGCTGGGGCCACCATGGAGTTGAAATAAGGAGTTGTTCCAGTCCAGTACCCTAGAGAAAAATTTCGTCTTACCCCAATGGTCACATTCTCACAGAAGTGTGCCTTGGCTCCCTTCTAAATCAGGCCTTCCCACCTACTGTCTCTCAGGGTTTTGTTTGTTGGTTAGTTTGTTTTTTTTTGATTTTGGTATGTGTGTTTGTCTCCCCACTAGATGGTAAGCTCCATAAGACCCAGACTGGGTGTGTTTTGTCTACTTGGCATGTTTCCTAACTCCTGACCCATATTTGTCAAATGAATGAATAAATGAATGAAATGCCCCTAAGATCTAGGCTCTGGGCCTCACAGTGAAGGCAGCTCTTGTTTGTCTACTGAATGTGCTCCAGCTAGCAGAATGGCACTTTCAATTCTGCAATTGGTGGTGGTGGTGGTGGAGGGGGCATGGTGCACTAAGAGGTGCCTCCCCCACCCCCGCGCAGAAACAGATGGTAAATATGCTTAACACATTGCTGCTTCCCCCAGCACCCTTCTGTGCCCCAACCCACTGCACCCAGCCACAGCCCAGCTCCTTCTTTCCTAGGACTGAAATAGAATCAGCCAGATGGGCTCTACTGGCCAATTCTCCTTCCTTCTAACTCTGGGTACCAAACTGGGTGGGACAAAAATTCTGTATTTAGTGAACTGTTTTCCCTCTTCACAAATTTCCCAGCCTTCTTCAATCCTCTTCAATGCTCATACTTCTTCTTAAAAACAAAACAAAACAAAACAAAAACAAAACAAAACAAAAACTCCAAACACCATTTCTCAGGCTGTAGCTTAACTCACTGTACTTCAGTCCAATAGCATCACATTCCTATTGTGTACCAGGCACTGGATCAGGCTGGGAGTGAGAGGAGTACATAAGTAAGGTTGATCTGAACCCTGCCCTCTAGGACTCACAGGTGATTGGAAGAAACAGACATGCCAGTACGCAATCTCAGTGTGGAGAGAAGCCTCATTGTGACTGGAGAACCAGGCAAGGGATGGGGAAGTTGGTGGCTTTTACAGCAGGCAGCTGAAGGGTCTCAGGAATCTTTCTTTCCTCTGTGAAGGGGAAAGGCATTCAGATGGAGGAAACACAGAAGCAAAAGCACAGCTAGAAAGAGCTGTGCATGTGTGAGCAAGGACAAGTGGATGCAAACATGGGAGATAAGCTGCAAAGGCAGATGGGGGCTGTTCATGGAGGTTCTTAAATGTCAGGTGAGGAGACTAGTCTGAATCCAGTGGACAGTAGGGAACCACTAAAGGTTTATGAGCGGTGGAGGAACAGACTCTGAGCTGTGCTTTAGGAATGATACTAGGGCTATGAGGGTACCCTGGTAAGGGGGAGACCATTTAGAGGGTTGTTCCCTTAGTGGAGAGAGCACTAATGGGCTGTAGGAGGGCAGTAGCCATGGGGTAGAAGGACAAATTCTCCTGTGTGATGGCTGGTGTTTCCTAACCACCCCCTCAGCCTGAGGTTGGTTTGCCTTCTCCACTTCTCTTTTTGTTTTCTGGTTTTTCCCAGTTTAAGCAAAGAAGGAAATTCACAAATGACAACAAGCAGTCCGCCCCTCCCCTCTCTTCCTCCTCCAGGCTGGCTCTCTCTTGGCCCAGGTTCTCCTCTGCTGGGTCTTAGTATCTGGGATCCATCTGTAAGATCTCTGGCTGAGAGATCTGTCTTTTCGTTCCATCCCTGTCTTCAGAAGCCTACCCTTGGGAACTAGGGAGCTATGCCTGAGCATTTGGTGTGTCAGTGAATCATAGAAGCAACACTGATTTATTTTTAGGAGTTTATCACCAAAGAACCTGCAAAATGAGGGAGACCCTGATCTTCCCCAAGGGAACTCACTTTGAGTGGGCCTACAAGACCCACACCAGTGAACAGCTAGAGATCTGTTGAGAGTTGGAATATTCTTCCAGCTCAAAGAGAGGATCAGTGAGCCCTGTCTTCCACACACAACTAGTAGGTGCAGAAGGTGGGTGGCCAAGGGTTTTGATGACCCAGACATGGTACCTGGAGAAGGGAGTGCTGTGATTGGGTGGCGGGCTTCTGTAATGAAAGTCTCCTTGATTTGCAGTGGGAGAGCAGTCAACCCAGAGAACTCTGGAGTTTTCTCAGGGTTGGTGGGAGGATGTGGAGTCTGAGCCCCAATTTCCTTGCACCTCCACGGCTCTGGACAGGTAGTTTGTTGCCACCGTGACATTCACAACGCCAGCGAGGGGCCAGCGTCCTAGGGGATCCCCAGGCCCGGAAGACTCATGGTACTTCCGTGACCTCATAGGCAAAACTCGCTCGGCCCTCCCAGGGGGCGGGGCTCCAGGCACCCGGGTTCGACCCCAGCCCCGGAAGGCCATCGAGTCTTGCCCGTGCCTGGCCCAGGACACGCCATGGGACAACTGATCACCAAGCTGATGGGCATCTTCGGGAAACAGGGTAAGGGTGCACAGAGCATCCAAGAGACCGCTTTGATCTGGATCCCATCTGGGACTCCCTGGATCTGGGGTCATCCGGGAGGAAGCGCTGGGGGACCTCGGCTGATCTCAGAGGGTCCTGCGTGGACGCTTCTCGCCTAGTGCAGTCTCCCCTGTGCCCTCCTGCGCTCTTCTCCCGCGTCGGGCTTCGGTGCGCCCCAGGGCGCAGAGCTGGGAGAGCCTGTTTCCTCCGGGTAAACGCCGCCGCTGGTTTCCTGCGATTGTGACTTCGGGCTCCGCTCTTTCCCCAGACCCCTTCTGTTGGCAAGCCCAGAGCCACCCGGACCCTTCAGACAATCACTTTTCTGGAAATGTGGAGCGAGAGAAGTGGGGCTCAGTTCTCATTTCCACTGTCCTGGGCCCGGTGGGAAAGAAACCTGGTCTGTTTTTATTTTGGGGGGTAGGGGGCGGTAGCAGACTTGGTACAGTGGGAAAGGTCTCCCAGCCTGCTGGGAACACTTGTCTCCTTCCTGGGAGGCCTGGCGAGTCCCACAGCACCTTGGTCTTCGCGTTTGGCCCTGACTCTGCCCTTCCCCCGATACCTCTAGAGCACAAGGTTATCATCGTGGGACTGGACAATGCAGGAAAGACCACCATTCTTTACCAGTTGTAAGTGCCTCTGGGGAGGGAGGGGTAGGAGGAGGAGTTTGTGCCTTCCCACCAGACCGATAGGCATTTAGACCAATCACTGGAGCCCTTCCCTGGGTCCCCTCGTTCCTCAGTAGCCTGGAGAAGTAATGTGGGGAACGCTAATGGGACCTTCCTGGTATAGTGGCCCCTCAGTTCAGTGGTTCCTCGGCCTGGCGTTTGTATCCTGCTCGGTGTGGACAGCCCCATTGCTCCCCGGCAGCTACTCCCGGCCCCTGCCAAACCCGGCTACAGGCATAATGCGGGCAGGCAGGTTCTTGCTGCCTCCCAGCGGCGGGTCCCTCCTTTCTAACTCCCGCACTTCATCTTTGCGTCTTAATTTTCTCCCCCTTCTGAAAACCCAAAGGGGAGCGCCAGCTTTGGGTCCAGCTGGGCTCCGTAGCTCCTGGTCTGGCAGAGTCTGGCATATGTGCTGAGTAACTCCTCATCAGAGCTTTCCCCCACATTCACTCTCTGGATGGCACCTCTCCCGTTCTGGAGCCTCCGGAGTATTTACATAGGACAAATTTTCCCCTGAAAAGTGACGTATGTAAGTGGTTTTTAAAAATTAGAAGAAAAGAAAGATCCAAACAGTACAAGAGTATACAGTGAAAAGAAAGTTTCTCTCTCACTCCTAACTCCCAGTTTTACTTCCCAGACCTTCCAGAGGTGTTCCTTACACGTAAAAGTCACAGAGCACCTTTCTGATGGCCCTCACTTGTGTCTGCCTCGTTTTTCTAATCCCTTGCTATTCGAAGTGTGATCCACATACCAGCAGCAGTGGCATCATCTAGAAGCTTGTTAGAAGTGCAAAATGCTGGGCCCCAGCCCAAACCCGCTGGATTATAGTCTGCATTTTAACAAAACTCCCAGGTGATTCGACTGTATATTAAAGTTTGGGAAGACTGCTCTATTAAGTCTCCCCGCTCTGGGGTCCAAGCCAGAGCAAGACTTGGTCTCAATTCTGTCTGTATTCTCCCATGCCCAGCAGAGGCTCAGCCGACCTGGGCTGCGTTGTTCTAACTTAGATTCAGTAGACTTTGGGAGCAGAGTGGCGGGAGGCCAAGGCTGAGGGTAGGCTGGGCTGAGCTCTTGGTATCCTCTCCTGCTTTCCCAGCCTTATGAATGAGGTGGTCCATACATTTCCCACCATCGGTAGCAATGTGGAGGAGATTGTTCTTCGAAAAACCCATTTCCTCATGTGGGACATAGGTGGACAGGAGGCTCTGCGCTCCACCTGGAACACGTACTACTCCGATACTGAGGTGAGGAGGGCACTGGGGCTGGAGGGGCTGTATGATATTAGCCAGCCAAATAACCTCCCTGAGCCTTGATTCCTCACTTGTGAGATGGAGATCATAATAATGATCTCCCTGATTTGTTGCGAGAATTAAATAATAAAACAATAGCTAATGCATACATGTCAAATTCTTAATGCAGCACAGCGCCTGTTAAAATTTTTGAATACTTCCTACCAGCTTTGTCTGCTTGTTGGCAGCTTTCTGTTTGATGCATAAATGGCGTAGACCCTTTGTCTCTGGGTCCTTACTTTCTGTCTTCGGCAGCAGTAGAATTCAGTGGTTTAATTCTTGGAATGAGAGAGGGCTGAGTTTCAATTCCAGCACTGCCACTCATGAGCCTTGTGGCTGAGGGTAAGATATGTCACCTTGCTGAACTTCAGTCTCCTCATTTGTAAATGGGGATAATAATACAGTTGGCCCTTGAACAGCACAGTTTGAACTACATGAGTCCACTCATACACAGATTTTTTTTGATAAATACACGGTATCCTCAGTCAGCCCTCAGTATCCCTGGGTTTTGCATCTGCTGAATCAAACAACTAGGGATCGAAAACAGTATTTTCCATCCACAAATGGGATTCCGTGGGTGCGGCGGGCCACCTGTATGCATTATTCTACACCATTTTATGTAAGGGACTTAAGCACCTGCGAATTTTGATAATGGCAGGGGTCCTGGAATCTATCCCCTGTGGATACTGAGGGAGGACTGAAGTCTTTGGGGAGTCAAAAGTTACATGTGGATTTTCAACTGTGTGGGAGTTGATCCCTCTAACCCTTGAGTTGTTCAAGGGAAAACTGTAGTTCCAGTTCCACAGGGCTGTGGTGAGGCCTAAATGGAGTGACACACATTCTAATGTTGTGCTGTATACTCCCTGTGTCTGGATGGAAAAGGAAATTAAAATGGGACTAGGGAAATGAGATCTTGAGACTGGACGGTTTGTTTTCTGTGGGGCTCGCATCAAGGTAGTGCAGAGGCCAGTGAGGGAGCACAGTTGGGCAGGAGAAACCTTCGCCAAAGAGAAAGTCCACCACTCACAGTCTCCCTCTGCTGGCCAGTTCATCATCCTTGTGATTGACAGCACAGATCGAGATCGACTGCTGACCACTCGAGAGGAGCTGTATAAGATGCTGGCCCATGAGGTAAGTCCCCGCAGCTGGGCGAGGGCCAAGTACACTAGCTGTGTGACTTGAGCTTACTCACTGAGCCTCGCTGAGCTTCATTTCCGATGCCCCAGTCTCTGAGAGCCTCTAGCTCAGCAGCTTGGAAAGGGCTAGTTTGTCCCAGAGGAAGGACAATAACACCCTTAGCACAGCTGATCACAGAAGCCAAAGTTGCTGGTTTAGGTCCTGAAGGCACGTCTCACTCACTGAGGGATCCCAGACAAGTCACTTGGCCTTTAGTCCTTAGATTTCCCAGTATAAATTGGGGAGGATCATCAAATTCCCACCTCATGGGACTGTCGTAAGGTTTATATAAACTGGTTGGGAGGCATTCCACCACAAGCTGTTGGTGTCATTTTCTGGGGTTGCTAGAGTTGGGGGATGGCCCCCATCCCCATTCCACCTGCGTATGGGTCTCCCTTGCAGAGACAGCAGGGGAGCGGGGGGTGGAGCACTCTTAGGGCGCTGGAAAGGGAGACTGGGGCCTGGCTGGCTGACTGGATCTGGGCTCCTCTGTCCACAGGCCCTGCAAGATGCTTCCATCCTGATCTTTGCCAACAAGCAGGACATGAAGGACTCCATGACCACTGTGGAGATCTCCCAATTCCTCACCCTCAGTGCCATCAAAGACCACCCGTGGCACATACAGGGCTGCTGTGCTCTCACTGGAGAAGGGTTAGTGGCTGCTCCACCTGGACCTCCAGGGCCTGGTTAAATCAATGAATGAATGATTGTCAGAACCTTCTCCTGTTTCTCCTATCAGAATGTTTCACAGTTAGCTAAGTCAGTTGAGCACCTACCCACAGTTGGGATGCTGTGGGTAAGCCATGAGCAGGAAGTCCCTGCTCTCAAGGGGCTTGTTCTAGTGAGGAGAGAGGTGACAATTTACTTAAACACGAACAGTTTAGATACTGATAAGTCCAATGAAGAAAGTGAAATGGATAATAGTTATAGAGGAGTGGGATGACTCTGGTGGTCAGGGACAGCCTCTACTAGGAGGTGACTTTTTAGCTGAGACCTAAATAAAGAGGAGACAGCCATCAGAAGACTGGGGACAAGCCTTCCAGGCAGAAATCACTTACTCTTTCTGACCCTGAGTTTCCTGATCTGTAAAGAGGAGGGTGATTATACCTACTCCCTCCCAGAGTTTCTGTAGAGAGTAAATGATATGGTTCATTCAACACTTACTAAGTAACTATTTGTGCCAGGCACTGTTCTAGGCACTGGAGAAATAGCAGTGAACAAAACAGACAAAAATACCTGCCCCCGTGGAGCTTCCTTTCCAATGGGGAGCAACAGACCATAAACAATAAAAATTAAAAAATATATAGCAAGTTAAAAAGTACTAAGTGCTCAGGGGAAAAGTCGGGTAGAAAAGGAGACTGGAAGTACGTGGGGGGAATTTTATAATTTTAAATAAACTATCTAGAGGGTTCTGCTGAGAAGACAGCTGCTGAGTGAACGCTGAGGGATGTGAAGGAGCTAGGGCGCGTCCCACAGAAAAGGCCTTGTGTCAGGTTTGGAGAATTCCCTTTCTTCTTTTCTCTCAAGTGGAATTGCAGCAGGCTGAGGACCTTGACCTGGTTGAAGAAGGGGAGACTTTAGGCAGGTCATCCCAAGAAGCCACACATTTCTGGCAGTGTCTTGCCATCCCCTGGGTCAGGAGGACCCCCTCTCCACCAACCCACAGTCAGTTTAATTCAACCAGCATTTTCTGAGAACCCCCTATGTGCCATGCACTGTACCAGGTGATACAGACACGAACAAGACCCACCGTTGGCTCTCCTGCCCTCTGCCCCTTGCTCTGGAATTGCTCACAGTCTAATTTGGGAACTTGCTTATAGAGTCTATTCCCAGGCCTTTGAAATCACCCTGGCACTGCCTCCAGCAATGAAGTGGATAGGAGGGGCATTGGAGCTTTGTCCAGAGACATTGCTAAGGTGGATCTCCAGGCTCCTTCTTTGGAGAAGCCCCCCTTGACTCCCAGACATCTAGAGGTCTCAGTATATCTCCTTCTTAACCTTTATCACAGTATGTAGTTATGGAATTATTTGTTTGATCATTTGTTTAACATCCATCTCCTCTGCTGGATGTAAGCCCCGGAGTGCGTGTGTTTTTTCACCAGTAACCGCAGCCCCTAGTACAGTATCTGCTACATAGCAGGCGTTAAGTCTGTATTTATTGATTGAAAGATTGTCTGTAATTTTGGTCGCCCCCCAGTTGGCTTTGGGCAGGGGATGGGGTCTTGAAAGTCATCATCCTCATGGGATATACTGATTATCGCCCTGTTCCTCATTTCCTGCAGGCTGCCAGCTGGGCTCCAGTGGATGCAATCTCAGGCCACTGCCAACTGATGTCCCAGCCTGAGGCCAACCAGAAACTCTGGGTTTTTGTATGGATCACGTGGGTGGAAAACCCAAGTACTATTTATTACTTTTATGTGATTCTCTGGTGGGAGCAGGGACAGCTATGGACAGTGAGGTTGCCACAGCCCACCTAACCCCCCACAGAGGAACCAGACTGCACACCCTGAATTGCTGCTGACAGGACAGCAAGAAAAGCTGCCCCTCACTCCATGGAAGCAGGTGTCTTTGGAGACACCAGAGAGACTGTTGGATGTGTTGGAGAATTAAGATGTGGAGCCTCCTCCCCTCAGCTCTCAACCTCTCTGTAGGAAAAAGGAGGAGCAGAGTAAGAGACCTATTTATTTCCTAGAACCCCACCCCTCAACCTCTCACCCCAAGCCCAGCTTTCTGGCCCCTCAGCCATCTTTGGACAAAAGAGATTCTAGAAACGTGAAGAGGGTGGGTTCAGAGGGAGGGCAGACCCAAAAGCTGGGAGGGGAGAGGGAGTGGAGACAGCACATCCCAGACGAGGACAGTCCTTGGCACTTCAGGGAGCTCCACCCCTCCCTCGCCTTCCCATGACCTCTGAGAAGTTGGCTGTGACCACAGCTTTTAAGCTTTAAGCCATCCCATAGTATGCCCTTCACTCCCAGTGTCCTTCTAATGTGAATCCCATTCCTGCCAAACGTCCCAGGTTTCTACAGCGTCCTGTTATCTTGTCTGTCTTTTTGTAATGATTTTGTTTCACACTGTATTAAATGCCATTGAAAAGTAATCAACTCCCCTTTCTGCCTGCTCGAGTAGGGGCTCTTAGGAGTTGGAAAAGCCCAGGAGTCCGATCTAGGTAGAGCTTGAGACAGTGAGCGGTTCTATTACCCCAGAAGACTTGGGTCGGTCTTGGGGTCAGTGGGTCTCTCTCCCTCCCAAGTCAGGCAATGGACATCTTGGCGAGAGCGTGCACACAGATATAGAGCGCCCAGGATTCTTCAACCCTGTGGTTTTCCTGAGGCATGATTGTGGAAGAAGAACCCGGGAATTCTAGCTGTCCCTGCTCAGATTCTGTATTTTTTCCATCAGGCTATATGCCAGCACGACTTTAAATAGAATGAAAGGTGATACTATTTCTTTATTACAAAGAAATTTATTCTAACGAGAAAAGCCGAAGCAAGTTGGGGGTATAGCTCAGTGGTAGAGCATTTGACTGCAGATCAAGAGGTCCCCGGTTCAAATCCGGGTGCCCCCTCTCCCTGTCGGATATTTTCGTGTTTTCGTAGTCCTACCTTCCACCAATGAAAGTTCCCTTGCAGATGACAGAGAATTCGGCCTCCAGGTCCCCTAACTTTTGCAGGCAGTGAGGGTCCTGACAACCCACGCCCTCAGCTTGTACGTGTGTATTTAATGTGGAATGAAGTGTGAGGGCAAAGACCTCTGTGTTGACCCTTATGTACAGTACGGACGGGCCCACTTTCCTAATGGTAGGGCGGAGGCGGGCGCACTCCCGCGTCAGCACAGCCGGTGGCCCCACGGCTGTTTTCAGGGAAGGAGGTTTAGTTTCTAAGGGTGGAGCTTGGGCTGTGGAAGGAAGGACCAGAGAAGCCCATGCGACCGTATGGGAAGGAAAGAAGGGACGCTGAGCAGCAGTAAGGGGCCTCTAGCAGGGCAGGAGAAGGGACCCGCCCCCCAGCCGGGCCCGAAGGAACGCCCCTAAGTGAGGGATCGCGAAAGATCTCGAGAGCCTTCCCCTCCCACATCACTGAATTGCATTTTTCTTACACCATCAGTAGGAACCTTTAGCCCAGAGCTTCAGTAAATAAACTCTGAATTCAGATGAATAATCACTTGAGATTAATATTCTTTTTCTGTTGTAAATCTTGAACCCTATATCCTTCTGTAAACTACTCACGGCGCCTGCGCAGAAGTAGAAGTATGAAATTACCCGTAGCCAAAAGGCCAGCAGAGGGGGTATAGCTCAGTGGTAGAGCATTTGACTGCAGATCAAGAGGTCCCCGGTTCAAATCCGGGTGCCCCCTGCTTCACGCTTTTTTTTCAAGGCTCCAAATTCGATTTCTTGGTCAACGATTGTCTTTAAAACACTTTCTTTTTATTTCCTCAATTTTATATTGACATTCCCTCCGTTCCCTCTCTTTTGGGCGGACGAGAAGCGGTAAGAAAGTTCAAGAAACGAGAATACTAGAGCAGTGGCTCTCAAAATGTGGTCCCAGGACCAGCAACACCACCTGGGAATGTGTTAGAAATGCAGGTTCTCATCCCAGAAATACTGAGTAAGAAACTTGGGAATGGCACCTAGAAATCTGTTTATTAATAAACTCTCCAGGTGATTCTGATGTATACTCAAATTTTAGAGGCTTACATTTTAAAAAATTTACACGTTAATTGCTTCTAATTATTTTCAAGCTGCTGTTTCAGCCTGAACCCTTGTAAGACAGACCGCGAGGCACCCCGAACGGGGGAATGTTCAGAGACCGGGGCCGGAGCTGCAATTCCTTCCTGGGACCTCTCGCCTCGACCTCCCGAAAGATAGGGGAGAGAAGATGTGGACCTGCTGGGCCAAAGCCGGATGGGGCGGAGAGCGTCTGAACAGGTCCGGCAAAATGAGGGACACCCCGGGAAACCGCAAAATACGCGCGTTGCTGCTCATTATGTGGCCACTAGAGGACAGCAAGAAGCCGCAGCTAGAAGCGGGAGCCTATTTTATCCTATTTCGAGAGTCCGCAAAAATCAAGATTTAAATTAAAAAAGAATTTACAGATAGGCCTTGCCCTGTCCCATTGTAACGGAATAGAGAGCTTAGGACTGCAGGTGGTTGTTTCTGGGAACCTGGGTCTTGGGGAAGGAGAAACTGGGATTCTGAGAGATTAGAGTCTTAAATTCTTGTTTCATTCTCTGGTCTCAGTGCCAGGGAAGCCGCCTCTCCCGGCTCACACTCTTCCTTCCCGTCCCCATTCTCCTCTTGGGGAATCCCCTCAGTGGCGCTCAGGGTCCATACCCTTCTCTGCGATTTTCCAGTCCCTGGGCCTCAGACCAGAAGAGGCCAGGGTGCCCCGCACCCCTCACTCTCTCCCTCCTCCTGCGCTCCAGCTCCTTGCCACAGCATGAAGTAGGTCAGGGCCGGGAAGAAGCACCTCCGAGTCCTGACCTGATTCTCTGCCGGCTATTAAATCTTCTAAACTGCAGTATTTTTATTCTGTCCTGGAAGGAAAAAAAAAAAATCTATCCCCAGAGCCTGTTATACGGTGGTGGCAGGTGGGGTGAACCGTCTTCTTGCTTTAGGGCTGGCTTTGAAGATTGGGTCAGGCCCTGAGCAGGGGTCCCCAGCGAGGAGGGTGGCCTCGGTTACCTTCTCGGGTGGGGAGAGGTCCAGGCTATTTCAAAGTAGGGATGATCCAAGCTCCCTCCACCCCCAAGTCTGCTGGGCTTGGGTCAAGATGGTGGTGGAAATGCGGGGTGGCAGGATGAAGCGGAGAGGAGCCATGAATTCAGGCATCTGTTGGGGAGAGGAGCTGGGGGGTCTCTGCTGCAAGGGGAGATTCCTGGGCTGAGGGTGAACATCAGACACCTAGGAACAGCCCAGAAAGTTGGGAAGTCTGGTGGAGCTGGAGATGGGGGGAGATGGCAGAAGCCTGTGTGAGAAGGGGCGCTGTTCTCTTCCTGGGGTCTGGCCCCCCGGGTTTTCTCTCCCCAGCTTTCCCTAAGGGAGTGGAGGAAGGAGCTAAGGTGCATTGTTGGGGGGCAGATGATGCTCTTCGGGGGTTCTCTAGTCCAGGGGTTCCCCGCCCTGTCCCCCAACTCCAGCTCCCCAGACTGCTTCGGTCCCCGTCTTGGGAGCGGCTGTGGGAGCTCTCCGAAAGCTACGGGGGAGGGCAGGGAGGGCAGGGGAAAGTCGACTGGGGAGAGCTCCGGAGGCGCCGCGCACCCTGCCCCGCCCCCTCCCGGTCCCCGCTCCTGGCCGCCGCCGCTCTGCTCGCTCCCCGCCAGCTCGCGCGCTCGCCGCTCCCGCCGCCTCGCCGGGCCCCGAGCTCCGCCGCTGACTCGCCGCCCACCCCTCTGCTTGCCAGCCCCGGGGACCGTGCTGCCGAGCCAGGGCCCCCTCTCTCGCCGGGGCCGGCACAGTAGCGGCCCGGGGTCGGGTCCTGACTCCCACCATGCGTGGCGAGCTCTGGCTCCTGGTGCTGGTGCTCAGGGAGTCTGCCCGAGCGCTGAGCCCCGAGCCCGGAGCAGGTAGGACTGGCCAGAGTTGGCCGCGTGGCCCGGTGGCGGCGGGGAGGGGGGTGGGGGATGCTGGCAGAGGGTAGGCGGGCAGGCGTGGGCATGGGCAGGTACCGACCGGCCGGTGATGTCCGGGGGCGGGGAGAGTATTGTCCGCCGGAGGCCAGGAGCCCTGTGGGCTGTGGCAGGTGGACAGGGATCCCACTTTTCTAAATACATAGGGTGTGTGAGTGAGGGTGGAAGCACCAGACAACGTCCTCCTGGAAGGACACCAGAGGGACCCCAGTAGAGGGGGCTCAGTAAGGCAGTGGTCTCCGGTCCCCTAGGGGACAGTGGGAGAGCCACTGGGACTCCTGGTCACATGGGGCGAGACTGAATTCTGATGAGATGGGAGACCTTGGGCGCCTTCTGCCTCAGCTTTGCCTCCTTTTTCCCTTCCTTGCCCCAGCCCAAGGCTGACTCTGGTTAGGTCTGAGAAGGATTGGGGCACTGGGCAGGAGAAGCCAGGGGGGTGGTGGAGACCCAGCATCTCTCCCAGAGCAAGGGCAGTGGCAGCCTGACCTGCCACCTTCCTCTCCCTCTTTGATGACTGGAGAGTGGTCCTGGGCCCAGGAAGAAGCAACTCGCTGCTCTCCTATCCCCTAGCCTCCAGGGTCCTGCTGTCGCCCCTGCTCTGCTTTGCCCTATGGCCTTTGACCTTTAGCTGCTCTGGCTCTAGATGCAAGGGAGTGGGGGGCTCCCACCTGCACACTCCTCTTCCCCTATACCAGTTTTCCACAGCCATCTCTCCCACCTGGAGGTCCTTTCTGAGATCTACCTTGAGTCTCTCGTATTATAAAAGAACCATTTTTCAACAGGTAATTTTACATTCTCCTTTCACCTCGTACACCCAGAACTTCTTGGGGGTTGGGGAGGTGGGTAATTTGTAGTCATGCCTCTTGACAGAGAATTGGAAAGATAGAGCTCTATGCCTCACTGGCAAAGGTGTCCTTCATATGGGACAGAGCAGTGGGAGGGTGTGTCAGGGGGATGCTGTAGTTGGGCTTCTGTGTCTCAGGGGTGTGCTAGCATCAGGCACAGCATCAGTAACAGTGTTCTTGACTTGGTTCCTGTATGTAGCTGAGACAGGCCTGAGTTCCTGTTGAGAAGCAGGGAGGGGAAGTGTGCTGATGGTAGAAATGTGGACAGACTGCTGGTTCCTCACCAGCAAGAGGATGCTGGTGAGGAACCAGCAGTCTTCAGGGAGACCACACAGTTTCCAAAGGCTTGGCTTCTAGTCCCAGCATCTCAATTGCTGTGTGACCTTGAGCAAGTTCTTTTCCTTCTCTGAGGCTATTGCCTGACTTATAAATCTTTGCTTCTTGGTGGTGGATTATGAGAAAGTTTTCTCTTTTTTATGATTGTCTTTCCTTTTTTTGAATTTGTTAGGATGTATGGGTAATTGATATATATATTTAAAAAGTCAGTATAATAAGAAAGAGCTTGGACCAGTTGATCTTCTAGGTCCTTCGCAGCCCCATCCTGGTGGGATCGTCTGAACTCAGCATGTGACTGAGTTGATGAGGGAGAGCTTTGAATCCTTACTGGACTGGAGAAACATGAAGAGGTCTGGAGAAGGGGAGTTGGGAGGTAACAAGGATGCTCTGGGGGATGGCGGCCAGACCCAGGCCTGGCTGAGGACCGCCTCTTCAGAGTCGGGTTGAGGTACTAGAAACCTGGGTTGGCCAGGAAGAGCCGGTCAGGCAGAGACTTGAATCACAGAGAGGCGGCCAGGAGAAACGGACTTTCTCTGCAGCAGGAGAGATTGGTTAGGCCTAAGAGAACTTTAGAAGACAGAGGAGGCAGCTGTTGACTCTTAGTTCAGTGCTTCTTTCTCAAAGCCAGGCTGGGTTAAATGGAGGGGCTACTCGGAGGCAGCGGGGTATCTTCAGGGGAGGACGGATGTGGGGGTGAGACATCCTGGGGAGGGCCGCTAAGGAGAGACAGCCCGGCTCTGATCGGTGATAGAGCCCTTGTGACTAGTGAAAGGGCAGCTGGGAGCTGTACCTGAAGAGGGGCAGCCATCCAGCCTCAAGGCTCTGAGTCCTCTGGGCTAGGGGGATGGGGGATGGCTCAGGAGGGAGCTGAGATCTCCCGTCCAAAGGTGGGACAAATGCGTACTTGCCAACGTAACGAGAAAGTCTCCTCAGACAGAAAGACGAAGTAGGCAACTCCATAGAATATAACAGAATTTATTATATGGTAATTTACTTACAGGAATATTGGGCAGGACCAGACAGCCAGCCAGCCTCTGCTAACAGACCCCTGTTAGAATACTTTTTGTCTAGAACCCAAGTACTAATGACTGACAGGATGAAGGGACAAAGAATACAGTAGTGCATACCTCCTGGTGGTCTTGTGGTAGATGATTGCTTATAATCAATACTACCACCAGTTTGGTATTTATCTTGATTGTCATGCCACTCTAGCTGCTACTAACAAAAAATATTTTGGCTACGTTTTAAGGAACACAGATAATCAGGAATTAGAAAGCTTTGATAGGCTTGCTAAGGACAGTGAAGTTGGTCAAAGGTAACAGCAGGAAACTTAAATCCAGGACAAAGAGGTGGAGGTGGTTTTGTTCACATTTACATATATACATCTCCCCTCCCTCTTGATGGATTCTTGCTTGGCGGAGCCTTGGAACTTCATCCGTCATTAGAATGGGATCAGGAGAAAGACGAGTGTGACCCAAAGATACATTCGGGTGGAGGGAGTGACCAGGAGAGGCTGACAGACAGGAAGATAATCTTGGGGTGCACAGTGGGAGCAGGGGACCCCGAGGGTCTGTCCCAGGTAGAACCAGAGGTGTCTAAAACAGACATAGAAAGGAGAGGCAGCTAGAGGTGGCATCCTAGCCCGGGACCAGGAGACTCGGCCCAGCACCAACTCCCTGGTGGCGTTCCTCCCTTCTCCGATCTGTTGTTTTCCCTTCTGTGAAACTGGGTTTGGATCAGTTTGTCTAGGGCCCCTTGTAGCCACACTTCTGCTTCCAGTCTCCTCTTTGCCCACGAGGGACTTCCAAACAAACTGAGACTAAAATCCAAACTTTTTAAAGTGGCCATTAGACAGCCTCTCTCCACCCTACACCCCTGCCCCCGCTCTCTCCAGGTCCATCCCTCAACACTCTCAGACTACCCGCCCTTGGCTTCTCCTCATCCAGGCCTCAGTCAGCTCAAGGGCCACCTCTTAAGAGACGTCCACCCTGATAACTCTGTCCAGAGTGGCAACAACCTCCAACCCTTTTGTCTTTTTTTTTCATAGCACTTATCACCATCTCACAGTGTTATTCGCTGTATTATTCATTTTGTCTTTTCTAGCTGGAATCTTCACGGGCACAGGGTTTGTGTCTGCCTATTCACTGATGTCACCCCAGCAGCCAACATGGTACCCAGCACACAGCAGGGTCTCAATAAATGTGTATTGAATGAGTGAATCAGAGGTGGCCACGGACCCCAGACTCTTCCTTCGAGAGAAACTCACAGGAAGCCAAACTCCTCTCCTCTCCTTTTTAATTCAGAGCTACTTGGTGGTCCCTTCCTGCCAATTCCTGTGCCTCCCTTCTCTCCCCAGATGAGAGTCCTCAGTGGGAACTTGCCTGTCAGCAGGAGGGGAGAGAGTGTGGTTGGGCACTTTGTAACGAGGAGGCAGGATTTCAGCTCAGGGTCTGGAATCTTTCCCAAGCCTTGCAGAGAGTCGGTCCTCGTGTGAAACCCAGGGAAGGCTGGACTCTGCTGGGTGTTTTGTGTACATTATTTTGTTAAAGACTCAAAATGACCTACCGAGTATAGGTTTTATCATCTCCATTTTACAGATAAAGAAACTGAGGCTTAGAGAGATTATACAATTTGTCCAATGTCACAGTCAGTAAGTAGCAGATTCAGGTTTCAATCTCAAGCGTGTCTGATCCCAAACCTGTGCTCTTTCATTTCTGTGATATTATAGTGAGGGTTTCTGGTGGGCTGTGCCCCAAGGGAAGGCGTCTTCTCAGCCCTGTGGATCTCAGGTTCTCAGGGTATTTAAAGATTCTTTCTC